CTTTTTTTTCCCCCCCAGAAACCACACGCACGCGCGCGCGCGCGTGTGTGTGTGTGTGTGTGTGTGTGTGTGTGTGTGTGCGTGTGCGTGTGCGTTGTGCGTGTGTGTGTGTGTGTGTGTGTGTGTGTGAGATACTTGACTGCAAGGAGGAGGGTTGTGGGGTATGTGTGTGGGGGGGGCCAGGACCCTACCACAGAGCTTCCAGGCCTACCACAAAGAGCTTCCAGACCTACCACAAAGAGCTTCCAGACCTACCACAAAGAGCTTCCAGACCTACCACAAAGAGCTTCCAGACCTACCACAAAGAGCTTCCAGACCTACCACAGGGAGCTTCCAGACCTACCACAGAGAGCTTCCAGACCTACCACATAGAGCTTCCAGACCTACCACAGAGAGCTCCAGACCTACCACAGAGAGCTTCCAGACCTACCACAGAGAGCTTCCAGCTCTACCACAGAGCTTCCAGACCTACCTCAGAGAGCTCCCAGACCTACCACAGAGAGCTCCAGACCTACCACAGAGAGCTTCCAGACCTACCACAGAGAGCTTCCAGACCTACCACAGAGAGCTTCCAGACCTACCACAGAGCTTCCAGCTCTACCACAGAGCTTCCAGACCTACCACAGAGAGCTTCCAGTCCTACCACAGAGAGCTTCCAGCCCTACCACAGAGCTTCCAGATATACCACAGAGGGCTTCCAGCCCTACCACAGAGAGCTTCGAGACCTACCACAAAGAGCTTCCAGACCTACCCCAGAGAGCTTCCAGACCTACCCCAGAGAGCTTCCAGACCTACCCCAGAGAGCTTCCAGGCCTACCACAGAGAGCTTCCAGGCCTACCACAGAGAGCTTCCAGGCCTACCACAGAGAGCTTCCAGACCTACCACAGAGAGCTTCCAGGCCTACCACAGAGAGCTTCCAGACCTACCACAGACAGCTTCCAGACCTACCACAGACAGCTTCCAGACCTACCACAGAGAGCTTCCAGACCTACCACAGACAGCTTCCAGACCTACCACAGACAGCTTCCAGACCTACCACAGACAGCTTCCAGACCTACCACAGAGAGCTTCCAGTCCTACCACAGAGAGCTTCCAGACCTACCACAGACAGCTTCCAGACCTACCACAGACAGCTTCCAGACCTACCACAGACAGCTTCCAGGCCTACCACAGAGCTTCCAGACCTACCCCAGAGAGCTTCCAGACCTACCCCAGAGAGCTTCCAGACCTACCACAGAGAGCTTCCAGACCTACCACAGAGAGCTTCCAGACCTACCACAGAGAGCTTCCAGACCTACCCCAGAGAGCTTCCAGACCTACCACAGAGCTTCCAGACCTACCCCAGAGAGCTTCCAGACCTACCACAGAGCTTCCAGACCTACCACAGAGCTTCCAGACCTACCCCAGACAGCTTCGAGGCCTACCACAAAGAGCTTCCAGACCTACCATAGAGAGCTTCCAGACCTACCATAGAGAGCTTCCAGGCCTACCACAGAGAGCTTCCAGACCCCCCCCTCAACCAAGAGCTCCCAGATCACCAGAAAATGTCAATATACCTCAAGATATAAACACTGGAAATCTACCGGGCTCTTCTCTGAACCGATACCAACACGCACATCAAATTTCAACAGCTCCTCTTCCAGCACAGTTCCAGTAACAGCAAGAACATGTATTCCCGGCGCGAACGACCGCTCAGACAATCACCTAGAAACAAGAGTTAAAACGCCTTTCCCCTTGGCGTTGAGAGGGGGTCGTAAACACCAGCAATTCATCACAATGATCCACACAAGGCAATTGAATTCAATCCAGCTGTTGGCCAGCAGGAAAAGGCTTACCTGGCGCTACCTGGTCTGTACTCGAGGGTCCGTACCCACTAGAATACATGATATACGACTGGGTGAACATTGAGCTTAGAATACATGCTTCGCTTTGATGGCTCCAGACGGAGTAAAACTCCAGGAGGCGTGACTACGCCAGCCTGGAGAGCTCTCTCATGCATGTGAACTATATCTTAAGGTTTCTTAGGTGCTTCCAGCTGTTGGCTTGGACAGACCCAACTGCTGGCTTGGGTGGGGCCCAACTGCTGGCTTGGGTGGGGCCCAACTGCTGGCTTGGGTGGGGCCCAACTGCTGGCTTGGGTGGGCCCCAACTGCTGGCTTGGGTGGGGCCCCAACTGCTGGCTTGGGTGGGGCCCAACTGCTGGCTTGGACAGACCCAACTGCTGGCTTGGGTGGGGCCCAACTGCTGGCTTGGGTGGGGCCCAACTGTTGGCTTGGGTGGGGCCCAACTGCTGGCTTGGGTGGGGCCCCAACTGCTGGCTTGGGTGGGGCCCAACTGCTGGCTTGGGTGGGGCCCAACTGCTGGCTTGGGTGGGGCCCAACTGCTGGCTTGGGTGGGGCCCAACTGCTGGCTTGGGGGGGGGACCCAACTGCTGGCTTGGACAGACCCAACTGCTGGCTTGGGTGGACCCAACTGCTTAAGGGACCATTTCCGGTGCATTAAATAACTGTTATTGAAACCTTTCCCTTGTTTGGTAAAGAAACTAAGCTGTATTATTCAAGCTGGCGCCCTGTGAGGCGAACACAGCTTAAAACTGCTTGCCTGAGACTTTTGTTTGTTTGTAAGATAAGCAGGAGCTCTACCCCCTCCCCCCCCCCGTCCCCCCTACCACCATTAATGACTGATGACTGTTAGAGTTCAACCCCCCAAGAAGTGTAAGATAACGAGCCCAAAGGAATCTACACCATATAAAAGGGAAGGCGAATACCGGAATCGTTCAGAGAAAAATATATGTGAATGGATATACTGCCAACACTACCTAATGTTGGTTCCGTGAATCCACGTTTCCGCGGCCCGGTCTCTACCCAGTGGTACACACACAGTAGCGTGTGGTAAACCGGTAGAACGTCGGTATATAAGTGTACGTACAAGACGCTCTACACAGTCTATGTTAAGAGTATTACTGGAGTATGCATCACCGGCCTGGAACCCGCACCTTGTCAAGGGGAACACAATTGAAAAGAAAGTCAAAGGTTTGCAACACACCTTCCCACTGTAACCAGAGGTTTAGGGGGGTGGGGGGGTAATCTTAAGAGGGTGGGCCAAGGAAATTAAATCCCACAAATCCCCACCTCCCCCCTCGACCCCCCACCACCTCACCCTCGACCCCCCACCAGGGTTGAAGCGGGGCCAGGAGCAGTGTGGGGTCCACATGCAAATGGGACATGATTAAAACATTCCCGATACACAGAAAGCAAAACCTGAGCAATGTAATGGAACCTGCAGTCTCCTGCAGGGCTTGGGGGGGGGTGTCAGGGGGGGTGTCAGGGGGGGGGGCCAGGGGGGGGCAGAGGGGGCCGTGGGGGGCAGAGGGGGCGAGGGGGGGGCAGAGCGGGCCAGGGGGGGGGGAGGGCAGGGGTAGGGGGACAAGTTTGAGTTTACAGGTACCCCTGTACCCAGAACACAAGGTGGGTACCCCTGTACCCAGACACAAGGTGGGTACCCCTGTACCCAGACACAAGGTGGGTACCCCTGTACCCCAGACACAAGGTGGGTACCCCTGTACCCAGGCACAAGGTGGGTACCTCTGTACCCAGACACAAGGGGGTACCCCTGTACCCAGGCACAAGGTGGGTACCCCTGTACCCAGGCACAAGGTGGGTACCCCTGTACCCAGACACAAGGTGGGTACCCCTGTACCCAAACACAAGGTAGGTACCCCTGTACCCAGACACAAGGTGGGTACCCCTGTACCCAGACACAAGGTGGGTACCCCTGTACCCCAGACACAAGGTGGGTACCCCTGTACCCAGGCACAAGGTAGGTACCCCTGTACCCAGACACAAGGTAGGTACCTGTCTGTACCCAGACACAAGGTGGGTACCCCTGTACCCAGGCACAAGGTGGGTACCCCTGTACCCAGGCACAAGGTGGGTACCCCTGTACCCAGACACAAGGTGGGTACCCCTGTACCTAGACACAAGATAGGTACCTCTGTACCCAGACACAAGGTGGGTACCCCTGTACCCAGACACAAGGTGGTACCCCTGTACCTAGACACAAGATAGGTACCTCTGTACCCCAGACACAAGGTGGGTACCCCTGTACCTAGACACAAGATAGGTACCTCTGTACCCAGACACAAGTGGGTACCTCTGTACCCAGACACAAGGTGGGTACCCCTGTACCCAGGCACAGGTGGTACCCCTGTACCAAAGGCACAAGGTGGGTACCCCTGTACCCAGGCACAAGATGGGTACCCCTGTACCCAGGCACAAGATGGGTACCCCCTGTACCCAGGCACAAGGTAGGTACCCCTGTACCCAGGCACAAGGTAGGTACCTCTGTACTCACCTAGTTGTGTTTGCGGGGGTTGAGCTTCGGCTCATTGGTCCCGCCTCAAAGTGTGTTATTAACAAAGTGATAGTCACTGTTAATATTCTCGCATATCTCTGTCTGTGGGAGTTGAGCTTCGGTTCCTGGGCCCCTGTCAGAGCCCCGCCCAACCGACCAACCACACAACCATTCAACAGCCAAGCCAGCCAACCACCCCACCCAACCACCCCACCAACCACCCCGCCAACCACCCCGCCAACCACCCCACCAACCACCCCGCCAACCACCCCACCACCCCGCCAACCACCCCACCAACCACCCCACCAACCAGCCCACCACCCCACCAACCACCCCACCACCCCACCAACCACCCCACCAACCAGCCAACCACCCCACCAAACCAGCCACCACCACCCCACCAACCAGCCCAACCACCCCACCAACCAGCCAACCACCCCACCAACCACCCCACCAACCAGCCCACCACCCCACCCACCACACCCCACCACCCCACCAACCAACCAACCACCCCACCAACCAGCCAACCACCGCACCAACCAGCCAACCAACCCCACCACCACCACCCCACCAACCAGCCAACCACCGCACCAACCAGCCAACCACCCCACCAACCACCCCACCAACCAGCCAACCACCCCACCAACCAGCCAACCACCCCACCAACCACCCCACCAACCAGCCAACCACCCCACCAACCACCCCACCAACCAGCCAACCACCGCACCAACCAGCCAACCACCCCACCACCCCACCCACCAACCACCGCACCAACCAGCCAACCACCGCACCAACCACCCCACCAACCAGCCAACCACCGCACCAACCACCCCACCAACCAGCCAACCACCCCACCACCAGCCAACCACCCCACCAACCACCCCACCAACCATCCACCACCCCACCAACCAACCACCACCCCACCACCGCACCAACCAGCCAACCACCGCACCAACCATCCAACCACCCCACCAACCACCCCACCAACCAGCCAACCACCCCACCAACCACTCCACCAACCAGCCAACCACCCCACCAACCAGCCAACCACCCCACCAACCACCCCACCAACCAGCCAACACCCCACCAACCACCCCACCAACCACTCCACCAACCACCCCACCAACCAGCCACCACCGCACCAACCAGCCACCACCCCACCAACCACTCCACCAACCACCCCACCAACCAGCCAACCACCGCACCAACCAGCCAACCACCCCACCACCCCACCAACCACCCCACCAACCAGCCAACCACCCCACCAACCAGCCAACCACCGCACCAACCACCCCACCAACCAGCCAACCACCCCACCAACCAGCCAACCACCCCACCAACCACCCCACCAACCACCCCACCAACCAGCCAACACCGCACCAACCACCCCACCAACCCATCCAACCACCCCACCAACCAGCCAACCACCGTCACCAACCTCCCCACCAACCAGCCAACCACCCCACCAACCAGACAACCACCCACCAACCAGACAACCACCCCACCAACCAGCCAACCACCCCACCAACCAGCACACCACCCCACCAACCATCCAACCACCTCAACCACCAACCAGCCAACCACCGCCACCAACCACCACCACCCCACCAACCAGACAACCACCGCACCAACCAGCCAACCACCACCACCACCAGCCAACCACCGCCCAACCATCCAACCACCCCACCAACCAGCCAACCACCCCACCCACAACCAGCCACCACCGCACCAACCAGCCAACCACCGCACCAACCAGCCAACCACCGCACCAACCAGCCAACCACCCCACCAACCAGCCAACCACCCCACCAACCACCCAACCCACCCACCAACCATCCAACCACCGCACCAACCATCCAACCACCGCACCAACCAGCCAACCACCCCACCAACCAGCCCACCACCCCCCACCAACCAGCACCAACCACCCCACCAACCAGCCAACCACCGCACCAACCACCCCACCCCACCCCACCAACCATCCAACCACCCCACCAACCACACCCACCAACCATCCACCACCACCCACCAACCAGCCAACCACCGCACCAACCAGCCAACCACCCCACCAACCAGCCAACCACCCCACCAACCAGCCAACCACCCCACCAACCAGCCAA